TGGTACTGCGCGCGACTTGAAAGTGCGCGATAAGGAAGGTGATGCCTTCGCTTCACCACCATGTCGCTGCCATTCTTGTCAATCGAGCATACGTAACGTCCCCGGCTTTCGCGTAAGAAGTGTTCTCTGGCGTTTTTCCTCTCCACGAAGAGCCCCACGGTTGATCTGACAAGAAAAACTTGAGTCTCTATTTTTCCCCCACCACGTTTCTCTTCACAATTCTTGTCTAATTTTCGAACAAAAATGATACATCAGTTCGATCGCAACCCGTGCCTTTAAATAACGTTTGTTTTGATTTGATTCCAAACTCTACCACGTGCTCAGGCAAGTGGCCAGAAAGCTTCTGCGTCCATGTTAACACCTTCGCACTCTTGCGCTTATATCTGCGCGCCGATTGAACGGAATTTTCCACTTAGATAGTGCGGTTGGGCATCACATTAGTTTTACGCGCGGTACTACTATTGCAATTCAGGCCTCGATCGGGGACCTTCTCGGCACCGCCAGCTGTACTCCAGGGCGATCTTTCGGAGGTAGGGGACCGTAGTGTCATGAGGTCATTCTCAAGTGGACGTCTTCAGCAACATATCAGATGAATGGCGGCAGTACAGTGGTCTCACTTTTCAACTATGTAATTCACAGAAAAAGTTTGTTCTCATTACAATGATTTCCTCTGTGACGCTCTATTATTGTAAACTCTAACCATAAGTTTGGTTCTACGAAATACTTCCCCGTCCGTTGGTGGGCGCGGCCTCTCCCCAGTCTCTGGCCGGAGAGTGTGGTGTACAGGCTAACATACCAAACGAATCGAACGCCTCCCCAAATTTAAGCGGCGCATTTGCACGAGACTCTGGTCGAGGACGGGGGAAAGGCCACGCCTACCAACGGACGGGCAGTATGGTGAACAGCCTTTTTTGCTTCATAAAGGCTCAAAGCACACGAATGCGAAAACATTGCCCATATCGACTGTATTCTCAATGAAGCAGTTTCGTGCGTGCAAATGTGGCGCACACTTTTGGGAAGGCATTCGATTCTCCCGATATTTCAGTACACCATCGCTGCATAATAAGCACCACAGACGAAACGAATATACCGATTCTATTCGGTAAATTCTTTGATTTCGTGCAATTGGATCAACTTGGACGTCATCATCCATAACGATAATTGCTATTGGTGTGAACCTACAAGTTTGAAGTGCATGTGGGTGGGCGCGACGTTGCGTGGTAATCTTGCTCGTTATGCATCTGGACAATTGCTGAGGACTTGTGTTCGAGAGGTGTTTCTACGGCCTCTGGCCGATTCGCTGCTACCACCGCAGATTAAGCCTAAAATCCTTTCCTCGGAGAATCGTTGAGCAGGTTTGGATGGAAGGTTCGGCAGCTGCGTTTGAAAACATGCCTTGCGGCATATTTTTCTTTATAAATGGTGCTCTATCCCTCGTATCCCCTGTTCTCTCCAAAGAACTTTGTACTGTGGGAGGGGCAAAAAATACTCTCTCTCCACGTTTAAAACTGAATTAGTCATGTTTCACTAGACTCAAACCAGTTGCTTTCATTCGAAAATTGAAGGACGCTTGGAATTCATCAAATATATTTGAATAACCTTCTGCAAGGCGACAGCAGAAAACTTTGCCACAGGGATCTGGTGCAAAGTTCGAGCTCAGCTGGCTTCCTATGGAGGGATACTGCAGGAATGTTCTGCCTAAGACTTCCATCAACGGCAGCACCCTGTGCAAGGAAAAGTTTGCTGATGTGCGCTATCAGCTGAAAGGTCATTTTCTGTCCCCTCCCCCCCCCTCCCATTTATGCGTCGTAACGTCGAGAAGTCTCTGCTTCATAGTGCTTCAAAATGAAAATAGTGTAATGTCAACATGATTAGGAAAGAAAACGAGTAACTGTTATGGGATCGCTCTCTCACCATCAGTCTCTTGCTCAATGATTCCTCAGAGTACCCTTTTTATCTGAACTTCCCGTGTTCGGCTTCCACTTCTACTCACTATTGAAGTCAGGGATTATGCACTTCATACAGGAGGACCAGGCGTGACAGCGTAGTGGTGCAGATTACATTTCGAATGCAACATTCATACCCTCAAAGCAACAACCACATATCATATTAGTGGGGTAGCAGGGGTCAATTATGAAATTTTGGATGCCGATTGGACCAATGAAGAAGTACTCGCTCTCTTCCTCCCTGAAAGGAACGGCGGGGCCGGATGGGTTGTACAAAGTTGCTTGCTTCACGGCTCCACTAGCGCGTCCACTAATTCGCACGTATTTGATTCAGCCACTACGTGGTAAATCTTGTATGCTATACGCTGCATATTCACGCATGAGAGTGCAGTATCGTCTCCGTAAGTTTTATTAGCCACCATTAGGTCACTTTGTAAGGCATTAGCGCCATTGTCGCGCAGTTTCGAGATGCTGCAACGGCGCATCTGTGATACTCGTGGGCTACTCAATCCCACAGAATAGATTCTTCGACACAACCACAACTAAAGGTTCTTGGTTCAAATTCTTGTCATGGCTCGAATTGGGGGGGGGGGAATTGGGGCGGGGGGCTTGTCTCATTCTTAGAGATTCGCAATCTTAGGAATTTTTGGAATGCGTAATACGGCAACTTTTTTCTCATCGCATGTTTCTGCTCTTGGGTAGTTTTATATGTGCAATAAAGGTCACATTTTCAATTATTTCCCATCCATCCGATCAATTGTTCATGGGAGAGGTAATGTCAACATACCATAGAAGCATACCTCTTTACGAAATGGGACAAACGAAAAATAAGTGGAGAATGTTGACTGTCCACTGGGCGCCTGAGCAGCGCATAATTGTGTAAGCAAGCCATTTGGAGCTTTCCAGATTATTACTCTTTACTGCAGAGAAGTTGTGCCTCAATATTCCTCTAATAAAAACGTTTGCATTGAGGAAATCCCCGATAACGTCAGGAACGAGAATCCGTACGCCTGAGCATGGTTTCTCAGCCTGGCTAGTTAGTCTGTCACCATTCATTTCTTACTAAATCACTGTACGACGTTTAGTCGCTCTGGCACAATTTTCCCTTCACCCTTACTATAGAAATAAAATGTACTGGTAGTGCGGGAGCAGTGCAGTGGCAAGTGGCGCTGCTTACCATACACCGGGATCAAATCCTGGGTCGTGAGTCGCCCGGGCCAACCAAGCCTTCCATCCCTCCGGGGTCGGTTAATTGGTACCAGACTTGTCTGGGAGGATAAAAACACTGACTTGTACATCATCGGCTGGCCCCCGCAAGTCATTGTATAGGCCACATCGCATTCAAACCCACTACGAAAATGGAAGTAGAATGCGTGCCGCATCCCAAAAAGGGATTGATCAACGGCAAATGCTTCATTTAATCTTTTGTCGTATTTTCGTCGGTGCTAACTTAGTTGGGGGGGGGGGGCACGCGGCGGCGCGGCAGTCTGCTCACCTGGGCTCTCTCGAGCGAGACAGTGTAAACTCGAACATTCCAGCTTTTCACGCATGTCAAGTGACTGCCCCCCCCCCCTAGACTGCCTACACTCCCCCTGGCCCACGGATTTCCGAACATGCCAGGCGAGCAGACTGCCGCGCCGCCGCGTGGCCCCCCCCCCCCAACTAAGTTGGTGGTAGCACCTTTCGTCGCATTAGCCAATATGTTTTAGATTGAAAGAAAATTTGACTTGAATCTCCGAAGTGCTTCAAAAGCTTCAAAAGCCCTTTCAAAAGAGTGCTGCGTTAATGTGAAAAATCTTACGTATAGAGCAATCAGTAAGGTCCCTTCCATGAAGATATGCCAGCTGACGGTCGAGAAGAGGTTTCATTCCGAGAATGCTTATGCCTTAAAATGTTATGACATTGGGAAGGAGATGGCATTGAATTTTGATTTGTAATTTCTGGATCTTAGAATCAAACGGGACGCTTACGTTCGACTTGGAAGTTGTTCCGCCATTGAATACACTCCGATAACACCGCATAGGTGATGTCCAAGTCGTAGTTGTAGGCTCGCAGAAAAGAGGTGAGCCACCAGTCCTGTGTTCTGAGTCGTGCCAAATCTTCCGGACAGCATTTTCGGCAACACTTGTCCTGTTGTGATCAAAACATTATGGTCTGATATTTTTGTTTTTTTTTTCGTGAGCGTCGATAATAGCAAGTTTTTCTCTCACCTGCAATATTCTGGCGCGAAGATCCTGTATTGCAAGAGTGTCTAGCGTCGACCGATGTGATTCCGTTATATGATTTTGAGTCGTCACTTGTGGAGACATGGACTTCAGCTATCTTCAGCTCATGTCCACCTTAGGTATAGAAACAGGACTCCAGAACAAGAAATAATCTTCAAATGAAGTGAGAGAAGTATCGGCGATATTTCGAATTATTGCGACGAATTCTTAGAAGCAATATGCATCAAGACTTGAGGTCCAAAAGGCCCTGATCAAATTAATTATGTATACATGGAATAGTTTCCCTTCCTAGTAACTTCTATTGCAAAGTTGTTGTTGATACTTCCAAACCGTATATTGCGATGCACTCTGATTCTCAAAACTGGTTTCGAGAGCCACAAAAATGAGAGACAGTTAGTAGGAAGGGTGATGGGATGTGAATCAATGGATGTGAGGCGAATTGCCATTGGTGGATAGGATACTTCTATTATCACATGGCACAGGTGCGTTCGAGGTAGTATATTGGCGATTGATCAGTTCCCGTCGAGCTATGTGCACTAACGGGCCACACAGCTGTCAAACGGCGTTGAGAGTATTGACTGCTGACGATTCGTCATACTCATTGTCGAAGTGACATCTGGTAACCGTTTAAGAATTTTCGCACTCAATCTTTGTTCCAGGCGTCAGCTTATCCATAGAATTCTCCCAGTCGTGATGCTTGTTTTATTTACTATGCTGTAACAATTTGCAAGCCGGACGGTTCGAATCTGCTGTCAAACCTTGAAATACTAAACTCTCTTTCCAAAAACATTTCGATTTTTTTTTCGTTTCATTCTATTCCATACTTGTTGGCCTATGGAGCGTAACTCGAGCTCTAAACCTTTATCTTCTCTCATCATCGGATGTGACAATCCATTCTTGCCTATTGGCGTTTAGTGTATAGAGAAACAATCTTTCTGCGGTTGGAAACAAATTTTCTATCATTCGTATCCAGCGCTTTGAAGGTTGTAACATTCGGCCTAGAACTTACAATTAGCATCAGCCAATTGGAAAACTCTCCTGTAAAGGGCTCAATCGCAGGTAGACCTTCGGACTACTACTTACTGATCAGGTCATTTTTAGAACCATGATCTAGTAGTAGTCGGTTCTCGTGGCCGGAGGATGAATGGCGTGTGGCAGATATTGTTTGCTAAGCTCTGCAGTTTTTCTGCATCTTCTTCGTGATACAGCAGACGGGGGCTATCAGGTTCCAAGACAAATCACCGACTCTACGGAAGAAGTACGACAGAAAGCTTCTACATCTGGATAGAATGGACAGTTGCTGTCACCGTAGTAGCAGTTCATGGCAGCAGGAAGTGCTGCGTTTTGTGAATCGTCACCGACATCAGCATCACCTCTCTTCAATGGAATCCGGGTTCCCTTTAGAGGATGGTGACGTGGTGATTATGTGGACACATCTATCAACGCTCTCTTGTCTTGGTACTTAGGAATATCCAGCTTTCATCTACAGTGATCATTTATCACAGTAGTATTGTCATGTGAGGCGTTATGTAGCTGGGCAGTTCTTGCTGGTGGATGGACAGCGAAATTCTAATATCCACATTGAAAACGACTAAACTAACAAACAATGCAGGACAATGAACGACAACTTTCTTCGTCAAAGTTTGGAAAGAGTGAAGCCTTCGACGTTCATCAATTCTCTCTTTTGATGCGCCACGCATCCTACTTCCGCTCGAAATTCGTAGTAACTTTTGAATGCGATGTGGCCTTCCAATGACTTGGCGGGGCCAGCCGATGTGCAAGCCATTGTTTTTATTCTCTCAAACAGGTATGGTGTCAACCGACCGACCTCGGAGGGATCGAAGGCTTGGCTGAGAATTAGCCGCCGGATTCTATCCGAGATTCGATTCCCAGGTCGTTTCATGGGAGGTGGCTCCATTAACCACTACACCTACGCCCATTTTCTTCAATGCATCTTATAACGGCAGCTTCCCCTTTCTGGAGAGCTTCAGAATGTATACGCAGTGATTTGTTTGTCGAGAGATAGAGTTCATTTCGAAACATTTCTGTTACCAGTGAGTCACCTCAGAAACTTCACTTGCGAAGCTTTCCAGAGCACTTTTGTTTTCGTTGGTGAGCAGTGAGTGATGAAGCTCAAGGAAACGCAATAATCAGAAATTTTGAAAATATCAAAAGTCTAGTGCCCCAACCTAATAGGCATGGCGCTCATCGTCAGGAGGCTCATGTTGCGGCGAAAGCGACTTGCGCGCGCGGCATTACATTGTAAAGCATAAAATCCTATTAAACTCGCAAAGTACCAATGTTGGGTGGAAATGCGCCAGGTGACGAGCTTCTGGAAGTTCCTGCTTCTTTGTTCTTATTTTTCCTTATTACATTCTTTCTCATGAACAGGTGTTATTTTTAGTACCTGCCAAATACCAAGTCAAAATAAAAGAACCGATTGCGAAATCTACGAGTTCGCGCCGTGAACCAAACACCACCAAAATACAGCAAAGCGAACTATTTTAACAAAGATGTTTTACGGTGAGTCTTCCAAGTAGGAGATTTGCGCACCTCCACGCCAGCGGCCTTCTGACCGACACTCAACTGATCCCAGCAATAATTTTTCAGAATGTGAAAATACATGTGGCTGAGTGATGACGAAATTAATAAGGTTAAGTTGCGCGAAGCCGTACAAGGTGATATCATTACTGTCAGGATACTGCTAGAAAGTCTGCATAGAAAGGCTTTGTGGATCAGTCTTACATTTCTTTGCGGCGGAAGCACTTCAGGCGCCAACTTACTCGAAACTCCAATCAACCTCTCCTCGTAATGGTCATCAATTTTTTGCCACTTTAAATCGTCTCGTTTTATTTGCTGATAGGGCGATGTAGGAATTATCAGTGCTGGAGCACGTTTTGGAGGTCAGTTCCTAGCCTCGTCTCTCGAAATTCTCATTCTTATTCATGGTTTATTAATTCGCGTTCCCCTCCCCTGTTAAAGGAGAAAGTGCTGCCCGTGGGTGTTTGGCAATACTGTGACTCCACGGAATACTCCTATGCGTTAGTTTACAACAATTCATCATAACTGCAGTCGCGAAAACTGGGACACACGACAATCCAAAAGAATCATCCTTGGCGTATGCACGTACTTGATTGAAAGACTGGATTAAAATAGTGTCAAAAGAAGCGTGGGCGAAACAACTCGCTTTCGTATTGCCTATCGTCGTCTATGACGATCTTAATCCTTCATCGCTCATCTAATAGCGACAGAATATCTAAAAATAAGCTTGGCTCTGGAGAATAATTAAGATGGGCTCATGAAACATCTAACAGCTCCATTTTTACTACAACCAGACACATGGTTGCATGCTGTAAATATCTTCTAGGTGACGTAATTTCTAAAAATATCGACAAGTGACGCAGAACAGTCCTTAGGGAGGTGTTCAGTGTGCTTGAAAATTTGAATTGAGAGCGAATTTCGAAAAGATACGCTTCCAATGCTCTCAGGTCAAGGCAGGAGATGCCTTGGACAAGAGAATGTGGCGAAATTAACAAAGCAGTGGACCCTGCGATGTCGCGGGATTAACTCTAGGGAAAGACGAAGTAGACATTTTTAACGCTTTCGAGTGTGCACACACATAGTCCTAGAGGTAGCAACTAAAAAGGTGGTCTAAATAGCTGAAGCTGTCTTTGGAGTGTGGTTAAGGAGAGCATTCAAAAAAGCGGCGGATACTGAAGAGCTTTTCAAGACGGTGGTTTTGAGATCGATTTGATTGTCGAGCTTCAATGCGAATTGTGTTAGCTAGAAATGAGGCAGTGGAGCGTTTGTGCGCACTTGTTTACTCACCATTATCACCAGCGAATCCAGTCTTCCTAGTTTTTTATTAGGACTACCTGTACTATGGAGGGTTTATTTGTGCAGCACTTCATTCTCTAGGTTTCTTATTGCTGTGGAATGGCCACCACCGCTCTGATTTTCTTCTTTGCGATCACCGCCTCTATATGCAATACTTCAATTTTCAAATATATATCCTTTGTAACAAAACTGATTCGATGGGTATATGTTTCCATCACCATAAGTTATACGATATGATTTGGCTATGAGTAAACAATGCCGAAAATTCAAGATCGGAATGTTTGGAGGGAACATTTCATCCATCAAATTCGGCCATCTCGGCACATTCTCAATATCGGATATTGCTGACTGTGTTAGAATGCGTAAGGCAAACTCTTCCTAATTTCGTTCAGGAAATCGTTCAGGAAAACCAAAGCTTTGAGGACATATTTGAAATTTGCATTGAGGACCATATGAAGAAAGATAAAACATTTGACGTTTATCCGTTTTGCTAATCCCGACGAAAAATCAAATTCAAGGGAGAAACCTCAAAATCGACCTCACTGTCTTTTTCAGCCGGAAGCCGCTGACCCCTTGGGAGCACGGCATCCCGTACTCTTGGCGATTACGCTTTGCAATTTAAGCTCCTGATAGTGGCGGTCTATATACTGAGATAGATGTTGCGTTTCTTAAAAAAAAGTAACTCAAAGAAATCTTTGAAATTTGCGCGAACTTTTGGAACACCTTAATGATGATTTGCAGGGGTGAGCCAATGTAGGTACATGTCAGTGTTTTAGTCGTCCTGGGCGAGGCTGATACCAGTTTCCCGTGATGGGACCCTTGTCTTGAGATGTGATCTGCTCGGACTATGGTGAGTAAAGCGTTAACCACTTTCGCACCATACACCGAATTCCGTCCTGCTGGTGTCAGATTGTGGTGATTACATCAGCAATGCGACCTGGGCCAAATCAAGTAATGAATAAAGATGATAGATCATGTAATCTATGATTTTTTTTCCACGGAGAGAAGTCGATGACAGTTGATCTCACGACTTGCCCATTTTGTGAGAGGTATCACCATTTTGGCTAGTGCTGACCACTGCGCCCACAACCCAAGCCTCCTGCGGTCAAATACCCCCTCCAAATGTCTCATTTCTTTTACTCTGCTTGACCGTCGGTCCAAGACAGGTCCGAGATCGCAATATATTTCGACTATTTGAAGTTTTTCATGAGTGAAACAGGGCTATCTGTTCCCCGTCATCACTTCTCATCAGCTTGTCTCTCAAGACGGCAATCTTGGTAAAGTTCTAGCACGTTCAGTGGTTTCGAGCTAGTTAAAAACCAGGTGTACTGTAATTAACCAACAGTTACAGTTTCCATGGCGCAGTTCATTGCTATGCAGTCCTCATAGTGAAGCGATTTACGATAGTGCAAAGAAGAAGGGGAAATAATGCTTGATTAGCATCCCATCACAGCAACATTTCCCCTGTCGCGAATTGTCACGTCATCCCCGAAATGCTGCCTGACACCATCGATCAATTGGTGGGCGGAATTGGCCGTTTTGGCGACGACTGTCCTATCGCATCGATTAGCTGAACAATGGGGATGGGCAGTGTTTATCGGAATGCCCAGGTTGATAGCCCTGTCTCCTGCGATCGATGAGAGGCGGAATTGGGCATGACTGCAACGTTAAGTTAAGCAAAAACGGCTTCCCCGTAGCGAAAGCTTTCATGAGGTAAGTGTTGGTGAACTTTTAGAACTCATTCTGGCACTGTTTGCATTGGGGGAGCTAATTGAGGGAAGGAGAGGGGTGGGGGGGGTTATTTGTGGGATAGTTTGTAGATTACTGAAGACATTTTTGTGTAAGGAGGCTTCCGACGTTATGAAACTGCTAACAGGTTCAATTTGCGCCCATTCTTTGAACTCCTTGTATGTTACAACGGTGTTTGGTGCTGAATGATACCAAGAAGCGTTGTGGGTCAAGGAATGAGAACTTCTGGAAGAGAATAACCCACGACACGTCAACAAATTCCTCATTCCCTGGCACAGAAAGACATATTACCTTCAGGGCCCTACCCTCTTCGAAAATCTTCATCTCTGACTCAAAAAGGCATTATTTCAGTCTTCCTGAGCCGCTTCATGAAGAGGTGTTTGTCGTAATTTTAAGTGTCTTCAGTGCTCTACACACAAATGCCGGTTTCAGAATTTCGCTCCGATTGAGCCTTTTGTAGTGCTGATTGGCAGCTCTAAACATGCACACTATATAACACCTCTGTTTTCTTTATTTCATTTCAAATACTCAGTTTTGAAACTACAGGGAAGCAAATGCTATTCCTTTAGCCTCCATGCTTGGCTAATAGAGGCTTAGTAAACGCAGAAATGCTCCGCTCCTCAGTAAGGCAGCGCCCCCATTTGTTTTGATCATTTACCGCTATTGCTTTTCTAGATCTTGTAGGTATCGATTAAAAAACAATGAGTTACGTTTGTGTGTTTTCATATTACAGGGTTGGTTAGCAGGGACATCACTGTTTGAAAATTTTCGAAATGATAAAGAAAAATAGATCCAAGTCTCAAGGTCGTTGAGCTATACTGCTCTTGAAGAGGAAAATGCTAACCACACTAATGTGCAAAATTAAGGACGAGATAAATGAAGTAACATAACTTATTGATAGCTTTGTAGATCCTTTAACGGTTTCCGTTCATTGCTTTCTGTAGTGCACTGTAGCAGCATTTTCTACTTGTGGTTAAGTTCCATAGAGTTATGTTACTCGCCAGTAACACGTCGTGTAAAAGCTACCCTCGCCTTCAAATAACCAGAAATTGTGCAATTGCAGAAATTGACGTGGCATTGGCACACGTGGCTAAATTCTCGATGAAAAGGTGACATCACGTGTGCTCAAAGATGTTCTTGAATCGATGCCACGTTAATGCCACGTCAATTTCTGCAATTGCACAATTTCTGGTCATTTGAAGGCGAGGGTATGTTCGTCCTTAAGTTTTGCACACCAGTGTAATATCACAAGAATTCTTGAGAAAATGTTGGGCAAATAGCAGTGAAACCGTGAAGCACTGGCGTCTACACACAACAAACACAGCTCATCTCCGTAAAGATACTCGACGGGATCCTGTCCATGTGTTTTCGGGTGTCGACCATTCGATTTGTCTTGCTCGCTTTTTCACGTTTTTTCTTGAATGGAAATTTTATATGGAAACTATGGGTCTTTATTTTTGTATCCAGATATTTTGACACCCCACCCTCAGGATCAGACAAACATTCTCACAGAGTGAGCGGCGGCGATAAGGCCTGTTTCTTGTACCATGCTTTGTAGCTCCCCGTGAGTAAAACTCCTAGGTTTCTTGGAGAGATGCCGTGTTGTTCTATGCTGAGACGCCAAACGAGATATAAGGCTATTTCCGAAAGGTGCTAAAGGAATGTCCGTCCGGGAAACCCGGATCCGTCAGCAGCAAACGCTACGCACACGCCCGGGCGGGCAGTGGTGGCGCGCTTGTCTCTGCTTCCCAGCGACGCTCGTTTCTCTGTCACCTACGCGCATCGGCACGCTCTCCACACGTTCAACCCTTCTCGTGTTTTCCTTTGATTATCGCGTTGTGCTTGTTTTATGGATTGAAAACACACCTCTATAGCCCGTGCGCTTTCATTGCTCACCTATATGTTGTTCCTCAAATCCTGTGAGATCAATCAAAGTTGTTTCTTGGTGATTGATTGATCTTTATTTGCGTATATCTACACCCTCTTGTGTGTTTCATTTCTTCAATTCTCATCGTGTAACTGGTGTTGTGGCATTCGTTCATTCGTTTTTCATTTGTGCTAAAAAGTGATCAGTGAACTCATTCCAGTCACATCTTGCTTCAGGTGGAATTACAGTAAACATTTGGAGTAAATAGTCGCTTCCCTACCTACCGCCTGCACTCCTCATATTTCTATTTATAACGAGATGCATATTGAACATGTCGACGAGTTCACATCCTGGCTTATAGCCGAGTTGACTCCAGTGTAAGTCCAAGTAATCTTCATATTTTTAGTCAAGTGTTTTATATGATTCTTGAACCTACCTTTGTAGTTGTGACGCTGAGCCGGGGACACTGGCAAAGTACGTTCTGGCCTTGCTCCGTAAGCCTAACAAGTCTGACGAAGAGATGCGTGCATTTAGTAGCAGTCAGTTGGAAGTGTTTCTGCAAGGAAGTAAGTCATGAAATAATTCAAATTCCGGTGAAACTCGGGTTCGGGGGGGCACGCGATGGCGCGGCGCTCTGTTCGTCTGCTCCTCCAAGGCTTAGTCCACAGGGACAGTTACCTTTTCGCCATTATGTGGCAGTTTCAAAATACGCGCCATCGGTGACTAAGCCTTGGTAGAGCAGACGACGAACAAGCGCCGCGCCATCGCGTGCCCCTCCCGAACCCGAGTTTCGAGTTTCACCTAAATTTCGCTTATATTTTTGTTAGGTGAGTTTTTGGGCGTTATCAAAAGATACGGGGCATTAGGCTCTATACAAGTGGGGTGGGCACGCCCAGCTTTTCACGCATGTCAAGTGACTGCCCTCACCCCCCTAGATTGGCTACACTCCCCTGGCTCACGAATTCCCCGATTCTCGTGACAGTATAGTAGCGGGCAGCAGTCCCACTTACATACATTTCTGTTCAAAAAATGCGGCGTGCCCACCTACTTGTATAGCACCGGCATTATAATGGGAATGCATTCTAAAACACGTGAAACATATCCTATGTGTTAAAAGTAGGACTTAGCTCCAGGAGGAGGGGGAAGGGGCCTCTAGGGTGCGTTAGCAATTTTCACTAACCCCGATGTTCCTGTCTCCTCCAAGATAGTTCTAAGGGGGCTTTCGTATCTTCCGACAGCGCCCAATTTTCAAAAGGATCCGAGAGGGTTGCTCAGCTTCGGAGTTCGAATGGTGTGTAATGCACTCAGCGATTGCTTTGACGTAAGAATCATAATTATGAGTCGAGGATGTCGATTTAGGGGAGGGAGGGACTCCAGAGGGAATGATGGATTCACATCTGGAGGAGGGAAGGGTTTCCGGGGGATGCGAATCAGTCACAGCGGAGTCCCTCCTCTCTCTTAAATCCTCATCGCCAGGTCACAATTGTTCCTTCGCAGCAAAAGTTGAGGAGATAAGCGTCATAGCAATTGTTGCGTACGTTACCCCTATCGTTTTTCCCACCGTGTATAGCTCTCCACTCCCTCAGCTGTTCATTTGATTATTTATCTGTTACAATCAAACGTGATTTAAGATACGAAAAAGTTTGTGGACAAGATGTTTGCTGTGCTAAAAGATGGTTCTTATGTACCAAAAAAGGAACCATCTCCCATTCCCGAGGAAGTTGTGAAGGAAAGAGTTGCAAAAAGAGAGGAAGTTAGGAAGAAGGAAAGAGAGGTGCCGGAGCCGAAGGTATTATACATTCACTCGTTCACTACTGTTCATACTTTTTTGTTGTTTCTTTTGTTATTTATATGAGGTGTCATATTTTGCAGCCTTCGCGAGAATCCGCTCGTAGTAGCGATCACAGTGATGACCGTCGTAAGCCTATTCCTGAAAAAGTGCCGAAGAAAGAAGACTTGCCACCACCCATACGAAACGAAAGACCTCCTCGCAAAAGGATCAGTCCACCGCCTACCGATACCGTGAAGGTAGTTTGTTGTTGAAGATTGGAGAGCCACGAGAGTGCCTTGCAGTCGAAAAGAACATGTTGACGCCAATTTGGACGACATAGATTTGCGTTAGCTGTAGTGCGGGATAAGCCGAGGAAGTCGAGGAGTCTGTTGGCGACTTAGAGCCTCGCCTAAGTTGTGCGATTATTCCATAGTAAATTCAGGCTGAAATGTTTGGGGTCATGCTGTCAAATTTTGTGATTCATTTCGTTTAGAGAGATATCCGTGAGACCGTACGCGATGGCAGGGAACCGTTGAGAGAACCAAGACGTCGTTCACGCTCAAGATCACCTCGTGATCGCAGAGGAAGACTTGGGGCACGGCGTTCTCCCAACGATCGTTTCAGAGGAGAGAGAAAAAGGACCAGGTTTGCATAATAAATCATTTCTGAAATTTTGTCAAGGCAGCACTCCCACAGAATTTGTTAAATATTGTACAATTAGTTGCCTCAATAGTGTTATGTGCAGATCCCAAAGCGGCGGACGAAGTAGATCCCCCGAACGTCGAGATCGTCGGTCTCCGCGCTGTGATGAACGCAGAAAGAGGCGATGTCGTGATTACGACGGTATGTTATTTGAGATCTGCAGCCATGAACTGCTTAAACACCTTATTTTTTGATTGATAATGGCGTTTTTCAGAGAAAGGATATTGCATGCAGGGAGATCACTGTGTATTCGATCACGGTCCTGATCCTGTAGGTTGTTGATGACTCCGCCTTGGAAAAAATGGTTAAAATTCCAGAAAAACCAACATCACACAACTTCACGTATGTGTTGCACAAGATTGATTCTTAATTCGATGTGGTTCTACCCCAATACCAATCAATTTTAGTATTCCACCTCCTGGCTATCATCCTCCTAATCCGCCACCACCGGGCGTAGAGCCTATTTTTACAGGACCTCCTCCTGCACCAAGGCCTGTTGAAGGTGCGCAATTGGACCTCACTTATTCGTACAGTCTGCATTCCATTGTTCACTTTTCAGGATACAATCCGGAAGCTCCATCATTAAGCGGCCCCGATTTCTCAATGCCACCTCCACCTCTGCCTGTTCCAATAAATACGGCTCCGTGGCGGCCGAGTCCTTATGCTGTGCCCACTACTGCTAATGTTGTTGTTCCCACGGTGTGTTTGATTACTGTTTTCCCTCATACCAATGGACAATCTCCTGTAACGGTGGCAAATTTTGACATTTTTCAAGGCGGTTTATTGCAGATTGGATACGATCCATCTGGAGGCGTACCAGTAGATCCTTCTTCGGCAGCTGCCGTTCCGCGGCAACCCATTAT